TACGCCTTGCCGTAGGATAATTCTAGTTATATGTGATAATCTCAAATTTTCAAAACCACTAGAACTTAAGTTTCAATTCAGAGATTCAATCGGCTAGGCCTAGTTTTGAATTTGAGATTCTGAACTCAAAACCAAAACTGACAAATTTTTTTGGCGTCATTACTATTGTTTATGACAGAAAATGTGCTGCAAATCTTTGGCCAAGGCTACAAGCCCTCTATCATAGGTAGGCTATTTTCACTAGTGACGTTGTACATACAAAGATTATTCATTTCCTTTTCCCTTTCGGCTCTCAAAATATTGGGCAATATCCATCAATGCCCTTAGAGATAAATTACCATTCACATTATTAGATTCTCAATACAATATGAAAACACTTTTGAACCATTTTATTGAAATTCTCTTGGAAGTTAGAGCAAAGAAATCACGCAAGCAATCTGACAAATGTTCTCTCACAAGTTGGCAGCAATGGAGCAAACACATCTTCCTTTTGGTACCAGTTTCTCAAGAATAGGTGATGCCGTGAATTCACTTCAGGCATCAACACCAAAAATACACCAAGTTGAATTTTATAGGTTTAGGTTAGGAGTGTATAATGTGTTTCAAATATAAAACTACTGTAATTATTTTACAAATATTTTGAAAGTAGATCAGTTTTAATCAATAGTTTCAATCGTTAATCAATCGTTTTCAGGAGCCTCCAATTATTCCTGTGACGTTCTTGACTGCCAAGTCGTTTGCCAAGCTGCAGGGTTATGAGGGGATGAACTCCCTGAATGTGTCTTTCTCCTTCAGAACTTACGAGGAAGATGGACTTTTGCTGTACCACAAGTTTACGTCCAAGGGATTTGTGAAGGTAAGTAAAACCTAAAGAGAGATGTTTCGACATTTGCCAGTCCGATCTTGATAATCTTAATGGAATCCTAGCCTAAAATGTCCAGGAAATAACTAACAATATCTTTGAATGCATACTGTGGTTAAGCTTTGGTCGGATTGTTTCAACATAAAGCGCAACTTTTAAAGAATAACAAATTCCATTTTTAATGATCTACTTTTTGTTCCAGTTGTACTTGGAGAAAGGTAAGATCAAAGTGGAGATAGTGTCGGACAACGGACCCAAGGCGATCCTGGATAACTACAATGAGAGGTTCAATGACGGACGGTGGCACACGGCTATGTTGACGATCTCCACCAACACTCTGGTTCTGACTGTGGACAACCGGCCAATGAGAACTACCAGGCTACTCAACATGCAAACTGGATCTGTCTACATGATTGGAGGTTGGTTTATCTTTTTTTCTCCTTCAACCTTTGGCGATTAAGAGAAAAAGGCATTCCATTTCCATTTTAAAGCTGTAACCTGTTAAAGATTAAAAACTATTGTAGGTAGAGCCATCAAGAGTGGTGTACAAATTAAATGTGAACATTTAGCTATTCCAAACTTTTAGCTATTTCAAACGTCCAATCAATCCAAAAGTCCAGCTAATTCAAACATTCAACCAATCCAAAAGTCCAGCTAATTCAAACGTCCAACCAATCCAAAAGTCTAGCTAATTCAAACGTCCAACCAATCCAAAAGTCCAGCTAATTCAAACGTTCAACCAATCCAAAAGTCCAGCTAATTCAAACGTTCAACCAATCCAAAAGTCCAGCTAATTCAAACGTCCAACCAATCCTATTTCCAGAACCAATCCATCTAGCTATTTGGAACATCTGATAAGGATCTAGTTCCAATTATTTGGATTAGCGAGACTCTAGGATATTAATCTCTATTGGGTTATGGGTTTTCTTTCCTTTTTTTACCTAAAATTATGTTTTGATTTGGTTAAAAGAAAAATTGTCAAAAAAAACAGTAGGCTAAGCAATTTAACGGTTAGAGACTCATTTACAAAGAATCAAGCTGTAATCGACTCAAATTACATTACATTTTGTCCATGTCAGTTAATGAACTAAATGAGTTGTCATTTAGTAAAGAAAATGTGTTTCTATTCCTCAGGCGGAGTTTATGGAGTTCCTGGGTTCGTCGGTTGTATGAGACTCATCAGCATTGACGGCAACTACAAACTGCCCACTGACTGGAAAGAAGACGTAAGTTTGAAACGCATTGTTTCAATGCAACATTAATTCTGCCCCCTTTTAGACTTAAAAAATGTATTTATCTTTAGCCTATAATTTTCTGTTCAAAACATATTTGACTTCTTACCTTGTTTTTAGCTTGATCCTTAAAAAAAATACCCTTAGTATCTAGTTTATTTAGTAAACACCAACCAATGTACATGTGCCTCACGGATAATGATTATTTTGACATATTTATGACAACTCCCCCTTCCTTTGAACCGATTTGAGTTTTTGGTAATCATTTAGGAATAAATTCTTATTTGTTTAATTTAATCTGCCAATGATTGATACAAAACCAATTAAATTTTTTGTTTATGAAAGTAGAACATAATGGGAAAAAATTATAAGGGATTTCATCTATCTACTTATTCTTCGAAGATATTGCAAATCATTGTAATGATTTGTCAGAGGGTTTGAGTCCCTGATTTCATACTTCTAACTGCTCTCCTCACCCAATCCTCCTTGTTTCATTGGTAATCCACATTGGACGGAATGCTGCCTGACACCTCTTGTCACTAGTACAAATAGGCCACACATTCCATAGCATGACAAAACCATCAAACATGGATTAACCATGTATGTACTAAATACTTTGTGACAAGAAACCCCATTGAGTTGTAAAGTAATTCTAGGCTTTGGAGTTGCATCACATTTCTGTGCCGATTGGCCAATTGCCAATAGTAGTGGCTATGACTATAATTGAAAATTTACTACTATTAATTTATGATATAACCCAGTTTCAAGAACAGTTTTAATCAATTACCTTTTTGGTTTTTCTTGCCTTGAAGTTCTTGTTGGTTTTTGATACCTGATGCGCATTTCGCCACAGGTTGTGGCATCTTCAGAGTTTGCTATCCTACACTTACATTCTAATATATACACAGTTTATATATACAAGAGTCACTGTACCGGTTCACATGGTAGCGTTTACACTCGCGGCGCGGCGGGCGTGTGTTGCGCCCGGCACAAGTAAGCACCCCGCGCTCGCAACACACGCCCGCCGCGCCGCGAGTGTAAACGCTACCATGTGAACCGGTACAGTGACTCTTGTATATATAAACTGTGTATATATTAGAATGTAAGTGTAGGATAGCAAACTCTGAAGATGCCACAACCTGTGGCGAAATGCGCATCAGGTATCAAAAACCAACAAGAACTTCAAGGCAAGAAAAACCAAAAAGGTAATACTATTAATTGTGATCAGGGTTAGTGTTCAGAATATTCTAAAGTTAAACCCGTATGGATCCCAGACCGTCACTTATCAACCAGTGTAGGACTTACTTTGTTTTACTATTTGTCTTTCTTACACTTATATTATGTATGCCTTGTTATAGGAATACTGCTGCAAGGGCGAAGTAGTGTTTGACACCTGTCAGATGTTGGACCGTTGCAACCCCAACCCATGTCAACACGGAGGTGTTTGTCATCAGAGTTCATCGGAGTTCAACTGCGACTGCTCCGGCACTGGGTACTCTGGTGCTGTGTGCCACACTTGTAAGTCCTATACTTCTCTTGGGTAGTCAAAGTCTAACACTCCAGATAAATATTTGTTGTTAACAACTTTTAAGTGTTAGGGTCGGATCAAAGATGATTTTGCAGAGTGTCAAGTTCCTGTATTTCCCAATCACTTGGAAAAGTCACCGATTTTTCAGTGGAGTCCTGGATGTCCCCGAAAACTAGAGGAGTGCGAGCACCTCGATTTCCGAGCTGAGCCTAGCCTAGCCTACAAACTTGAGAGGCTTAGGACTTGTAGGACTTGTACAATTTAGCTTGTAGGAAAACTTATAGGATTTAGCTAACATGTAGGATGTAGTTCAATGAAAATATGGTAGGATATAGGTAAGAGACTACCAAACATAATAATAGAAGTCCAGTAATAAAATCACGAGTATAATTATTGACAGTGTCCCTTTTGTGATTTTGTAGTAATTTCAACAATTGATTTCCATTGAATTAATTTAATACCACTAGGGTCTAGTGGTGTGACTCTCAGTGGAAACCTTAATCTTAATTCACACAATTTATACCTATGACAAAGAAGAAAATGGATAGACAATTAACATTAAGTAAATATGTTGTTTCCAGCTTTGAACCCGTTGTCGTGCGAGGCATATAAGAACGCAGCTGCTGTAGGACAGAGAGCCCATGTGAAGATAGATGTTGACGGAAGCGGCCCACTCAAACCCTTCCCTGTCACCTGCGAGTACTATGGTAAGCTCAGAACTTGATGGTGATGTATAAGAAAAATAACAGAGAGTGAAGAAAGTAGGATTTATTGGATGGAAACCTTGTGATACAGACCATTGGATATTAGCAGGCTATAATAAAATGCAATTTCAGCCACTGGTTCAGTCTAATTTAACAAACTGACGAAGTGAAGTTTTATAGGAAGTTTAAGCTGCCAAATGTAATAAAATTGACCTACCCACCTCTACTTATTCAAATTTGTACTTATTGTAGCACGGACCTTTGCTGCCAATACAGCTTTGAACTCAGAATTTTGGATGCCCCGTGTTTTGCGATGTGGAATAGAACACAACTCAATTCCAGGAAAATTTTTTACTCACTGATCAAATTTTCAATCAACGTATATAGTTTCTAGCTTTATGTCATATTGTTTAAGAATTGTTACTGGCCTCTTGGCCAAAAATATCTCAGTGTTTCATGTATCAATCACTGTAACAGGACTTTGTTTACTCAAATTTCTGAAGTAAGGTTTTATAATCAATGATAAGGGACCTAAACAGTCCATCCTTAGTCAGTAAACTGTGTCATGCCAATTTGACAAAACTTTGCAGTTCCCGCAGATTTTTGTGAAGGCTGCGTATAATTTGCACTGATGAACTCTGAAGAGTCTCAGGTAAAGTTTTCTCCGTTATTTGTGGCAAGTAGAGCATACACAATTTGACATTAGAGCCCATCTTCCACCATTGTTTTTGTTATTTGTACTGTCTTCTAAAAATAGCTTTTACCTTAATTAATATATGTGGTTAGAGTAGAGGGAAAGTGGTTATGTAAGTTTTCTTCTCGCATTAACTTCTCTCTACACCGAAAATTGACATTGAATTTTCCTATCTTGACGACGTAGCTGTACACTCTAAAATGTACTTACACATCCACGACTATTGAAATGTGAATGAATGTTTAGTAACCTAGATTGTTCCTGAAACAATAGATCAGGAGGTAATCATAATGATTGCACAGTTAAACTGATTATTGGGTTGTTTTTTGGGACCATAAACGCATGGTGGACTATAATACTCATTTAAAAGACTTTAGTTGCACTAGAAGTAGGATTTATTTATTTTCATGTAACCTAACCATTCATATTATTTCAGCTGACGGCCGCATAGTGACTATGCTACATCACAGCAATGAAGACGAGACCCCAGTAGACGGCTTCCAGGAGCCGGGCAGCTTCATGCAGAACATTGTGTACGACGCCAATGCCGACCAGATTGAAGCCCTCATCAACAGATCTTCATCGTGTTGGCAACGCATTTCCTACACCTGCAGGAACTCTCGTCTGTTTAACTCTCCCTGTAAGCTATTGGTTGATCGAAAATATCTCTATTCATGTTGTGCACAATGGTATACATTGAATTGCGTCATTGTGGTTTTAAACTAGGACAAATACAACTAAACAACAACAACAACAACAAACTAAAAAGAAGATACAATGTGCATGTTTTTCATTGGAAAAAGAGGTAATTTAACGGAGTATGGATGAACAACAGTTTTAATCTTTTTTTTAACATTACAGTATGTTCCTTAGTTCCACAGGAAGTCTCAAAATAATCAACTGAACAAAATAACCTTTTGTAACACACATTATCATTATTATTTTATGATTGTTTTACATGAAGTATTGTATGAAAAACCAAAAGGCTAACATCCAATATGCCCAAACTAGATAGATATTGATGAACTGAAACAATGACATTTAAATCGTCAATTTGTATTTCAACTCAAAAATACATTGATCAAAGTGACAGAAAACAAATTCAATGGTACCTAGATCCAAATGACATGAACTTGAATTGTATTTGTTTTGATCCCTAATTCTAGCTCATCTTTGAGAATTGAAAAAGATTACTTCAGTTATAAAATGATTTTTTATCTTTGTTTGATTGATTATGACTTCACAGTACAAATTATGTAAAATTGTTTTAAACATATCATATATTTTATTTAGATGAGTTAAAGGCTCAGTTAGTAGCTTGATAAACTTTGAATCCATAGCAGTGATGACTTGGGTTTGTGTCTTTGTTCACCACTAAAATTTTATCAGTACATGTTCACCCTTGTACTAAGACAAATAAGACATTTATTAGATATTCAACAAAATTACAAAAGTTTGGGAGAATCCTTTTGTACTGTACAGGTTCATCCCTTGTTTTGCTGGATACTATCTTTGAAAATGTTATCTCAACGATAATTTGACCCTAACCCTGAGATTTTTTACAGCTTCTCCAGATCAGCTGTTCCAGCCGTTCTCATGGTGGGTGAGTCGTCATAATCAGAAGATGGACTACTGGGGAGGAAGTATCCCAGGCTCTCGCAAATGTTACTGTGGCATCATGGGAGAGTGTCAGGACAAAACAAAATGGTGCAACTGTGATTCTGGTCAGTACATTACTTGCAGTATCCGTTACTACTACTACTTTTCAGTAGATCACTTACAGTATACAGTACTTTGAGTATAGATTACTACTGTTTACAAAGTTTAAGGTTTTTCAATATTTGACGGGGAATATTATTGTTTCATTTTTGAGAGTTCTTCTTTTCAGTTTCTGAGTTTATGCTAGTAGCACTTAAAATTAAGGTACATTAATTGCTTGGAAATATAATCCTAACAATTACCTAAACTTGTTTGGATCAATTTATTTTGGGATCAAAATTATTTCTTTCGCTTAAGTCTTAAGAGACCAACAACTTGATAATAAGAGAAATAATAACTGGTTCATTCAATTGGCAAGAATTTTACTGAGAACTACAGAAATAAATTTACAACTAAAATACGTAATCAAAATATAAATAAAAAATTTTTAAAGGTGACTAGAAGCTGTGTTAACAGATTTTTCTCCAACTAGGAACAGTATTTCTTTATTTTCTATTAGCAAACGTGCTATACGAGCTTGAAAAAAATCTTAATAATTATATTTGGTAGCCCCAGGATTGCGTTTGATGAAAAATAATGAGTAAACATACATCATGAGACGACTCTGAACAAGTAGAGTATCGTGTGAAGATTTTTCTACGTATGGTTATTATAGCTCTGCCTTCGTCGAACACAGACAATGGTTCTAATAGGTCTTCAAAAACATTCAGACCCGTTGTTGGCCTTGCTTGATCGTATTCAGGGTGCTTTGCACAACAGGGAAGTAATATACAGGGGATACATTCAATGGTACACTTGAGTCGTGTCTATCACGTCTGCCCCAACATACCAGAGCTATAGGCGCACGGTTGTCCCATAATCATGTTTCCTTCGTATCTTACTTTTCTGTTTTTGCATTCAATAGCTTTTTACGTGGATTTGTACTGGATTTTTTTACTCATTAAACGTTGTACTCATAATTTTTCACATTAAGAACTTTGTACAACACAGATGTAAATATGGAGATTAAATCTCAATAACTTAAAACAGATAACTTCAAACTAAATAACTTGGGATGGGGAACTTTGTCCTCAATACATCTATTCAGAAAACAAATAGTGATGGGTCGGTACTTAACGTCAAATGCCGGATCCACCGGTTCTTGGGAAAAGTACGGGGACCGAGATGGTGAAATGTCAGTACCGATACCTTCGGTACCAAGTTAATTAGTTATATTTTTATATACTCATTTACAAAATTCAAATTGTCAACCATGATAATTATTTTTCACTTAAGGCTATTTGAAATGGCATATTTATCATTAAATATTATCAATAGTAGGCTATAGGATGATTATCTCAGTGTTAGTTAGTTAAGTTATTGTCACTATAGTCAGGTGATAGAGTGGTGCAAACATCGGCTGCAATTGCTCCATTGCAGTAACGTAGCCAGGATTTCAAAATAGGGGGGTCGACCGACCGGGGAGTCCATGTAAAGGGGGGGGGTCCAGGAAAATAGACCCTAAAACGGTCTTTTTTAGCTCTCTTGGCATTGAAAATAATCAACCCCAACGTCAATACAGTATGATTATATAATTCTACATTTAATTTAACAAAAAATATTATATTTAAGACCAGAATGGGGGGGGTCCGGACCATCGTCGTCAAGCAGAAGACGGAAGGCAATTTTAATAAAGACTGCATCAATTAAATGGCTTATTTGGACTCAATACAATTATTACACTTCCTTAATACCGTCCTTTCCTTATCTGAGGCTAAAATATCCTTTACATAAATACTTTTGTTCAAGTTTCCTTAATACTGGAGCCTAAAACTAACTTAATGCAGGTTATAGGTACGTAATGACTCAAAATTACTTCCTTCTAAATATTTCGCTAGAACTTAACAGGCAGTTAACTTATTTTTAAAAAAAATTCCAGAGCCACTTTTCTTTCCAAAGTTAGTAGCCTATGTTTAATTTATTGGTTTAGCAGTGAACTATTTCAACAAATAGGCCTATATTTAACACTTCTGGAATGGTACATATTGTTTTGATTTGAATGAGTTTGGTTGTTTAAGTGTTTTTTTTTTTTGTACAAATAGGCCGTTTTTATTTTCTTAATCCCTTAATATAACAAACCTAGACAAATGAAAAATAATCAGTTTTAAAATTGAAATAGGGATACATACTGTATTTTGTTTCAAAAATAAAACAATTAAGTAGCCTAATTAAAAATGAGGTACCGATGGTACCGGAACTGAGAACCGAGAATTGATTTTGGTTAGGAACAGGTACCAGTACCGACATTGAAAAAGTGGTACCGACCCATCACTACCTTAAACAGAAAACACAGTAGGCCTACTCAGAATCTTGAAACAGAAAAAATATAATTGTGATCAATAGCTAATATATTAAAACAGAGACCTTTGCACTTAATATTTTAAAACTGGAAAGTTATAAGTCAAATTATATTAAACAGGAAACATTGTTCTGAACAGTACACACCTATACATAGTAAAAATGGCACTAAATCTCAATAACTTGAAATAGAGAACTTTATACTGCTTATATAACTTGTACTTGTTTGTTGCAGGCTTAGACACTTGGCTGGAAGATGGAGGAGATATAACGGAGAAGGAACATTTGCCTGTTCGTCAGGTCAGGTTTGGGGACACTGGAAGTCCATTGGACGAGAAAGCTGGGAAATACAGACTCGGACCCCTACTCTGTGAAGGAGATGGTAGGTTATCATTTTGTTAATGTAAAGATTTTTGTTTGTTCCAATGACTATCGATGTTTATGAAGCATATTTTAAAAGTAAGTACCGTTTTTACATTTCTCCGTTCCAGTGCTGCGATTGGCATTTTGGACATTTGCGCTGTGAATGTGCATCTATCGGAAATCCTGTGCTGGAAATTTTGCAACATTTGGCCGTGTTAACATTCGGTTTCGAGCATTCAAAATGATGCCGCCAATTGAGACTGCCGCCGACTATGAAGTGTGCGCTGTAATTAGATTTGTAAGTGCTAAAGGTGTGAAAGCCATTGGAATTCATCGACAGATTAGTGAAGTGTATGGCGAGAACATTATGAGTAAAGGAAACCCATCAGATAATGATGAGATCGTAAACCGCCTGTTCTCTCTCATTTTTCATTGACTTTACGCACCAATTCATCAGTAATGACAGATAACCACCTAGTGCGTTGCTCATCATGAACGTTGGTGCGGCCGTCTTTAAATGCCCTTACCCACTTTCGTACCGTCACGACACTCATAATGTTCTCGCCATACACTTCACTAATCTGTTGATGAATTTCAATGGCTTTCACACCTTAAGCACTTAAAAATCCAATTACAGCGCTCACGTCACAGTCGGCGGCAGTCTCAATTGGCAGCACCATTTTGAATGCTCGAAACCAGATGTAAACAAGGCCGATTGCCCGATTGTTGCTGAATTTCTGGCGCAGGCTTGCCAATAGATGCACATACACAGCGCAAATGTCCAAAATGCCAATCGCAGCGCTGGAGCAGAGAAATTTAGAAACGGTACGGTACTTACTTAAAAAACATTAACTTAAAAAACATGCCTCGTATTTTGGTTCAGCTCTAATGCTAAAAACATAGAATACAAAATGGAATAATATAATGATTAGATTAACTATTTTACATGTAAATATTAGCGCTGTAGTTTAAAAATATATTCACGAAACACTCTAATCTTTGATATATAATCCATAATTATTTGGTGAATATAAAGTGACTAATAAAACTTCGGTTTGAAGTTACATTGCGAAGCTATCTCTCTCAAATTTATTCTTTTAACAGCTTTAATACCAAGGTTCTACTGTTTAAATCAACACACCCCGTCTCATCTACACTAACACACCCCATTGGGAAATGTATGTTTGACATTCTGTATTGTGAACCATGTTTACATTCTCATCAATAAAAAGCAAGCATCTAATAATTTCAAGAAAATAACTTGAATTTACTTTCAAACATGATCTAAAAAGATAATAATCGGTTCGGTACCCTAATCTGAATACAATAGGGGTTGTCTGCAGTCTTCACATACCGATTTACTTAAGGTAAAATAACCGAAGATTAAATAATTAAGACTCTACTGTATTTACATTCCTATGCAACAAATCTAAAGCTCTCGATAGCATGTCTTGCTTCTTTTTCATACAACAACAGTAAACTTACTTACCAATGTCTTACTTACCACAATTGACCTTAATTTGCAGATTTGTTCAACAACGTCGTCACTTTCCGTATCACTGATGCTACGATCGACCTGCCGACCTTTGACATGGGACATAATGGAGACATTTACTTTGAGTTCAGAACAACAGTTCAAAATGCAGTCATTCTTCACAGTAAGGGTCCAACTGACTTCATCAAAGTCTCGATATTAGGTAAGTTTTACCCCCAGTTTGGTAAATCAGACGTAGTATTGTAGAATTGTTGGTTCCTCGATGTTTTCAGTTTGTTTACCAAACAGGGAAACTCAGTGCTTGAGTCTTGTGTTGATGAGACAGACATCCTTTGAAAGTTTGGTTGATATATTAAGTATTAACAACGTTAAGTATGTTATGACATAACTCAGTTATGAATTTACATATCTTATAGTCTTGAGTTTCTAACTTGTTCAGCAAAGTCAATAAAACTTGGAGGAACAGTAGGATAACAGAACATTTCATTGGTTCTGTGTGTGTTGTTAGCCTAGTGGTTAGCGTCTTGGACTTCAGTGCGAGAGGGACACAGGTTCAATTCCTAGTATACCCATAAAATTTTTAGGAGGTTGAACCGCTTTCCCTTAAAAGCCATGTTTATTTAATTAAAAATGTCACTGGTGTACACAAATAAGTAACATTTGCTAAAACTTCTCAAAATAACATTACAGTAGAGTCCCGCAAACTCGGCACTCGATAACCCGGCAATCTGGATAATTCGGTCATTACCTGGCTCAGAAAATTAGTGATTTTTTTAGTCTGAGTTAAACATGGACTCAAGCCAGCTCAAGTTGAATCATTCACAACTCGTACCAAGGATTGGTTGTACTATATCTGATGACTTAATACTGACTCGTTATATAAATATTAATAAAAAAGGCAGTTAGTAGTAAAAAAGGCAGTTAAAAAGCTTAAAAATTGTATTGTTCTTATTTTTGACCCTAGTTTCCAATAACCCGGCATTTCACAAACTCGGCACCCGTCCAGTCCACATAACGCCGAGTTTGCGGGACTCTACTGTACTATCTTTCTTTATTATTTTAAGCCTTTCAAATACAAAATATGAATAAAAATAGTAGTATGTTAGAAAAAAATAGTTGTGTCTTAGACATTATGCAAAGCATATATTCAAAGTTTTTGTCATAAAATCAATATAATTCATTACTATGAAATACAGTTATTTAAGATAAAAAAAACTGTATACAAGATCATTCCCATTTGTATGTAATCCCTCATTTACTTACCAAAAACATTTGTTAACTAAATGAATATTTTTAATACAGGTGGAGACACTCTTCAGTTCACATATCAAGCCGGCAGTGGTCCCCTGGGAGTAAGTGTGGAGACGTCCCACAAACTTGCCGACAACAACTGGCATTCTGTGTCCATCGAGAGGAACAGGTATGTTCTGCAAATCATATTGGCCTAATTACCGCAGCTTCTATACATGACATGTAATGATGTTAGTCTAAGGACATATAAGTAATGAAAGAAATACGATGTGCATTTAAATTTTTGAATGCTTACTCAGGAATACATCGAGAATGAGATTTCCACAGAACTGAATTAAAACGTGTTCTGACTTAACAAATCTTGAAATTTTTTATATTTATGTCTTAACTTCACATCCTAGGATGCTAGGCTCAAGCTCGGGATTTTTTTCACATTACTTCAGGCTAGGCCTAGAGGTTGTAGCAATATCTTTGCTAAAATCTATTGGTGATTGGGGGTGTTTGAACCCAGGACTTTATGGTCCAAAATGTCATAAGTTTTTGTCTGTGACACAGTCATATTCGAAGACCTATTTTTAGGTGTCGATGTCAAATACTTAAACTGAGTTATTTCTTTGAATTTTTAAACGATATTGATCATGACGAATGTTGATTAAGAGTGATGTGTTGTTGACACCTGTGTGATATTTCAGGAAAGAAGCTCGTATTGTATTGGACGGAGCTCTCAAGGCAGAAGTAAGGGAACCCCCAGGTCCTGTGCGAGCTCTTCATTTGGACTCGCCGTTAGTTCTAGGTTTGTACATTTATTTCCAATTTAAAATTACCTAAGTAAAGTTGAGTTGGTGTTAAAGTTGTGAGAAGTTTCACTTTTTGTCGTTATACGTACTCAGAGTCTCTCACAAAGAGGTCGCTACTTTGGAAGGGTCCGCGGAATTGGCTAACTCTGGAACTCGCTAACCCCATGTTAAACGCCCTATCTTCAAATTTGGTCGATGAGAGGATCGGGTCCGCGGAATTGGCTAACTCTGGAACTCGCTAACCCCATGTTAAACGCCCTATCTTCAAATTTGGTCGATGAGAGGAACTCGCTAACTTGTTCGGTTTCGGAATTGGCTAACTCCGGAACCCGCTAACCCGCTCTAGAGCCGGGTTAGCGAATTCCGTCCTCGTACGGAAGTCGCTAACTCGGTCCCTCGGCGGAACTCGCTAACTCCCAATCAGAAGCCTCGCGGGCCGTCCAATGGGAGCCAGGCACGAATATTTTTGGCCAGTGTTGCCAAAAGTGTAGTACCTATATCGTATCGGTACCATAATGTCGTATCCTACGATTAATTAGGAGTAAGAGCAACGTAGTCGATAAAATAAATATATTTAGAAGTATGTTTAACATTATTCTTATGATTATTAGGGTGGAAAATGCATTATAGTCTTACCATAGACTAACCAGCACAAGTAAACTTTACATCCCATTGTAAACTTTGAAGCTCGTTTTTCGTGTCTAGTTCATGTCCGGTGACACTGATCGCTAGTGTCGACAAAATTGTGTTTATTTTATTTTATAGTCAACTTCATGATTTGTTCTTTACTGTTTGGTTATATAACTTGGGGACGTGTTATTAGTTATGATTAGAACGTTTTATTTGGTTAAACGAGGTTTTAAATTACTGAAACAAGAAACAATTGTAAACAAAACACGACCTCTAAAGACAGTGCACCGGACAGAACTAACAATAATACTGTCTTCAGCTGATCCATAAGGATGAGAAATGTACTAATATAAGGGAGTATGTTTTATATGTGGGTTTCTTACTTAAATAGTAGCTTATTGGTATGCAAAAAGATAAAAAAAAACGTTTTAAAAATGCACATTTAATTTGGATCTATTACATGTTATGAAATATCTATTTTTGTTTCTTTTATTCGAATCCATTTTGTGAACTTCTGCAAATAAAATTATTGAGTTCGTATTTTATATACTGGGCTTGTAACCTTGAATCATAAATCATAATAAAATTTACACGCTAAACGTCATAACAGAATTACATTGTAGTGGTGATGTATTTTTAAATAGAGCTATTGAATTTAAATAAAATTTATCAATACATTATAAAGTGGTAGGCCTAATATATTCATGGATTGCATTAAAAATTAGTCTATGCATAAATACAACTTGTAAATTTCTTTTATCGTAGGCTATTAGTGTAGAACCCGGGTCATCCTCTTAATTTTGCTGAATTAGGCTAATATTAATTTTACGTCTTTCAGTAGGCCTACTTTTTAAAAGTCTGGAGTTTGTCTCCAGGCTGGTTCTAAATGGACCCAGGCGTTCTTCTTTGTTACAATTCTTATGAATGGTGGCCATAGCTAAAATTACTTGATCTTATCCAACAACAAAGCTATTGTCTATTGAGTAGCTCAGTACCGGGGAACGGTGAACCGAGTAATGGCTTGGTATAGTTTATATCGATTGTGAAAGCAATATAAAGGAAACCCAACACTCAAATCAGGAAAATCCGTCAATTCGTTTATTAAGAATCGTGAATTAAAATAACCCTGTCACGTTTCATTATATGAATATTATATCTTCTCCTATTTTTTACTAGTGGTGCTTTGGTGTACAATCTAAAAACAGTTTTAAAACATGTAACATTATTGCTAAAAAATTAAACACATTTTAGAATTAGGCAACTATTTACTAGTAGGCCTACAATGCTTTGGTTCAAACTATTACTTAGGCTATATTAGTCTATGTCATCATATTTGTACACGTAAGTTGGACGGTTCAACGACGAACATTTAATTTTAAATCTATGAATTAGTTATGAAAGTTACGATGGTTGATGACTGTATTAATTAATGGTTTTGGTTTATTACGACATTACGATTAAATCTGTTTTCCGTGTTTGAGAACTTTCGTGTATTTTAGCTTAATTTCGTAGAGGTTTAATTATTTAGTACCAATTAAACTGAATTTCCAATATTTTTCATATTCTATTATTTTCTTTTATACTGATGGAATTTATATTTAAGATCGAAATCATAAGCATTTAACTGGCCATTGTACAGTTAAATAAAAAAAACACTTTTTCATGATTTTTAATTGTCTTTGAATTACTTTGGTCTAGTTATCTGTTAAAAGTGGAATTGATAACAAAAAACAATAACATTTACTGTATCTTCATTGACACTGACATTTTGAAATAGGTAATGCATTGTACGATTATTTTGTCGTACAAGGTTGGCAACGCTCCGTGCAGTGGGCGCGGCCGGGTTAGCGATATCCAGAGTTAGCGAATTCCGCCGCGAGACAAAATCGAGTTAGCGGGTTCCGGAGTTAGCCAATTCCTGACTGAGACGGTTAGCCAGTTCCAGAGTTAGCCAGTTCCGACACACGACCGAGTTAGCGAGTTCCTGAGTTAGCCAATTCCTACGTCTCAGAGGATCTCGCTAACTTGTTCGGTTTCGGAATTGGCTAACTCCGGAACCCACTAACCCGTGGGTTAGCGAATTCCGTCCTCGTACGGAAGTCGCTAACTCTGTCCCTCGGCGGAACTCGCTAACTCCCAATCAGAAGCCTCGCACAAAGGTCCAATGGGAGCCAAGCACGAAGAATTTTGGCCAGTGTTGCTGAAAGTGTAGTACCTATGATCGTATCGGTACCATAATGTCGTATCCCACGAATAATTAGGAGTAAGAGCAACGTAGTCGATAAAATAAATATATTTAGAAGTATGTTTAATATTATTCTTGTGATTATTAGGGTGGAAAATGCATTATAGTCTTACCATATAGACTAACCAACACAAGTAAACTTTACATCCCATTGTAAACTTTGAAGCTTGTTTTTCGTGTCTAGTCAATGTCCGGTGACACTGAACGCTGAATGCAGTGTCATACCCAATTATGCACGCACCCCCACAGGTCTCCATCGGCAATCCCGTTTTGCTAACACTGTACTGTATCTTCATTGACACTGACATTTTGAAATACGGCAGAGTACAATTATTTTGTCTTACAAGGTTGACAACGCTCCGTGCAGTGGACGCGGCCGAGTGTGCGACTTCAAGAGTTAGCGAATTCCACCGCGAGACAAAATCGAGTTAGCGGGTTCCGGAGTTAGCCAATTCCTGACTGAGACGGTTAGCCAGTTCCAGAGTTAGCCAGTTCCGAAACACGACCGAGTTAGCAAGTTCCAGAGATAACCAATTCCTACGTCTCCTTTTGAATCCAGACTTATCGAACACGCTATAAACTTGAAACTGTGCAGTTTAAAAAATAGATTTGTAAAACACCCCTCCCCTAGTACCACTTCATTCTGACTATTCAGGACAAAATGGCAGAACAAATAATTACAACATTATCAGCAACCTAATATTCAAGGTCAAATTACTTATATTTACAACAGCATAAAACATAGCTACAGCTGCTTTTGCAAACCAAAAACAATGGAAGGATTCAGTAATAAGATTTCTCATTATCTGTCGAGTTTTTTTGTACGGTATCTTTATCTTATGTAACAATACATTTGTTCAACTGTGCAAAAGCAAAAAGTTGCTCCTGGGCTATTGGCTTTGAAAATAAATATGAAGCAATAAGCCATTTGCGGCTTAAGTAACCAAGTTTAGTTCCACCTTCAAGGAAATCGATTCATAAATAGGAGGCTATCTATATTACTAGGAATAGGGTTGATAAATAAATAATAAAACCAATAAGTAATTTAAAATAGTTAAGAATCAATCGGGTGTTCAATCACTCAAGAGTGTTTTTTTCACATGTGTTTGTTTTAGTGTGAAGTCAAAAGTTTATAGCACGTTTTATGCGTTTAGTTTATTGATTCAAACATATCAACCTCTTCATGGAACACCCTGTATAAATGTGGCAAGGCTATTGTGATGTCTGGAAAAATTTACAAACATATTGACACTGATAAATGTCTTAGAGTTTGACATTTTAACGCACAAACTATTCCACACCACTTTTAAAGCCTGGTATATCTTTATTCAATTGTTATACCACTTGGCTTGCGTGTTTTGTCTCTAGATGTATTGTTAGTATTTTCTTGTTTGTTGTTGTGTGTTCATGATCTAATTGTCATGTTGTTGATTCAGGAGCCACAACAGACTACAGAGATGGCTTCACAGGCTGTATCAGAGCTCTGCTTCTCAACGGCCGACACGTGGACCTCATGTCATACGCCAAGAAGGGACTGTATGGTAAGGTTTTATGTTTGAAATTATACACTCTGTCAAGTCACAGTTTCTTAATTCCAGTACAATCTTGTTTATTGGACACATCTAGTACCACGTTGGACTTTGGAGGGTATCATTGAAAAATGTACAGTAGAACCTCGATAACAAGTCACCCTTGATAACAAAGGTCATTTTCAAATCCCCTTGAAAATATTTTACCCCTAATCACATGTTATTGCCATCCTCGATAAGAAGTCAACCTTTGATAACAAGTCTTATTTTATAATCCATATGAGAGTCTTGTTATCAAGGTTCTACTGTATATACAGTTAAACACCTCTATTTGATCTCAGGTTGTCTGGTCCTTGCTTTATCTGGCCACTTTTCCTCTGAATTCTAAACTACAATTGTTGATGGTTTTTGACGGAAAATCTACTTTAGCACTTCTCACGGTCCATCTGTTTCTGGGTTAGCACTGTAATTATTCATATTCATAATCTTTATTCATAAATATATACAAATGTGGTACATTTAATAGTGTCAATTAATACTAGTAACAGTAGTGGTACCAACTTTTTAACTATACTACTAAAAAAATACAAATAAAACTTTGCTACCTATTCGAGGGAGGTGGAGAACTCTTCCATCGAATAAATAGCTAAATTTAGTATATAATCTTTGAGCAATTTCTTATCTTGGTTTTTATCATTTAATATAACTTCATAAATATATTGAGCATATATATTTAAAAAAGATAAAAATTAAGATAAGATAAGAGTTGTTAAGATAAGAGTTAAAAAAAATTTAAAGTGCTCTTTGGCTGAATCATCATAATCTATTTTTAAACCGTATCGTCTGCGTAGATGAGAAGGTAAAGTGCTTGCCTTGAAATCTGAAGTATGGTTCGATCTAGAGAAAAATCAAATCTAGACTCAAGAGTTCATTAATGATGTTGTCTAAGAAGTTAAGAACTAATTGACATTAGTTACAAGTTCTCAGTTTGGATTGTTCCCTCAAAAAATAAACGTAAAAAGCTCCGATGGCGTAGAGTAACTCAAATGAAATCTAGTGTTACCTGACCCTACACTGTGCATATTCTTTATCTGATTCGGATGAGTCAAATGCAACTTTTGGTTACCATTGTGTTTTTCAATAAATAAACCTGAAATGAGATTTCAGCCTCTCTCCAGTGAAATTAATTATCTAATATTATTTGATCCAATTAGAACAAACATCTGCTGTAAAACAAATTAACAATGTACAGCATGTTTCTATGTTCAATTATAACTAACACATAACATGTTATGGTGTAGGAGTGATGCCTGGATGTGTGGGAAAGTGTGAGTCTAATCCTTGTCTCAACAACGGAACATGTCACGAGAAGTACGATGGGTATTGGTGCGACTGCCGATGGACTGCATTCAAGGGGCCGATCTGTGCTGATGGTAAGTCAAATCAATACTAGACTATGGAAGTAGACACATTCTCATTAAAAAATTTTTGCCAATTTTAGAATATGAATTAATGTAGTTGGTTTGAGCACCAAAAGAGTGCACCGATTCCTTGTGCAATATATTATTTCCTTTCTAAAAGCATTGTGAATTTTCAAACTGAATTTAGTTTTGAAATTTCTAATCTAGAGGTTAAATACCTTGTTGCCAACGTAAAAGACCTACACCCTGAACCCGCAGCCGCACCATGGGTTGTATGGCCATACAGTATTATTCGTTAAAAATGTTTGTTAGTGTTCGTTTTTGTCATTTGTTCGTCTCGTTATGTGTTTATGAAGACTTTATGACGACCTCCTAGGAGCAACAACCACGTCTAGGCTTGACAATGACACCTTAAGTGTGTCGAAACCGGTAGCCATTAAGTATACCAAGGATTACGTTGGCAACAAAGTATTTAACCTCTAGATTAGTAATTGTTAAGTAATCCGGAAGGCAACACCTCAGAAATTGAAATTTCTGGTATCTGTTACCTAACCATTGTGGATCCGGTCCTATCTGTAGCGGTTTATTTTATGGTTTGATTTTGAGTAGTATACCTGAAGTTTTCTGCACATTTTAACATTAAAATGGTATGAAATTAGCTGATTCCGTCTGTGATCCTAAATTTTGTAGTGAGCAGCTACTGGTTTCAAGGTTATAACCTTATCTTCAGGCTCTTGATGTCACTCATGCGAGCTCGTCGAGTTTTAAAAAGTCAAAAGTGGTAGCGGCTCACTAAAAAATTTAGGATCATAGTCGGAATCAGATAATTTTATACCATTTTATTGTTCAAGAAGTAATCCTGAGCCAAAGAACATCAATGACGTTTTAATTGTTCAATTAAAATTTTCACTTCACTCAAAATTTGATTGGAAGTATTCATTATTTAAATTTTAATCTCAGGAGATTTAACGTGACGTTCTGATACAGAAATCGGAGTTAACATGCGTCCCAGTTCCATCATCAAATACGACTTCATGGGAAGTTGGAGATCAACTATTGCAGAGAACATTCGTGTCGGGTTTACCACAACCAACCCCAAGGGCTTCCTTCTGGGCTTCTTCTCCAACATCACTGGAGAGTATTTGACCATCATGATATCCAACAGCGGTTAGTATCTATTGACTATGTTGTGCTTTTTATGTGTGTCAAACTAAGGAGTGCGTACTGTGTTAGATCTTCGGATTTTCTTAGATCCAGGAACTAAATGAAAGCTGCGTAAACTACCTACCAAAAGCTATTTCTGGGGCATTATTAATTTTTTTTTATGCTCAAATTGTCTATTTAGCTATTTGTCATCAAGCAAATTCAATGGAAAGAAAATATGTTCAATATCAAATTTCACCTTTCAAATATTCTTATTCATATAGATGAAAAATTGGGTATATATATTTTTGGTTGAGGTACATTTCAGAAGTAAAAATATTTTAGCACCCCTGGATGCTCTTGGTTATGTTTTGTTGAGGGTTACTGGAGCTATATTTTTTTATAATTGCAGCTCTTTTATTCTTTGCGATCTTTATTTTCTTCTTGTGTAACTGTGCAAATTTATGTTTAGTTAACATCTGCTTAAATTTTTTATCAACAGATATTCTAGCTCCAAATTCTTGGAAACTGTAAATTGCCCTTGATAACAAAGAAGTCTATCCATGAGTGTTTTAGAGCTTTTATTGCAATTAATTAACACTTCTTGATTAAACTATGTGACACTAATGCAGCATGAAGCATGACCAATTATATGTGTTTGCAGTAAAATAAGAATTAAGTATTGCAAACTCTGTGACTAATGCTATCTAAAACCATTTTTATCTTTTTAATTTACTCAATTTTAGTAGTGAAAATCGCTTACAGGGTTGTTATTAGGGGAGAAACTCTAAAAATCGCCTCCCCAGTAATATTACTACTAGTGTTTTCTTAGTGGTTAGCATCTCGGACATCGGAGAGCGAGGGACAGGTTCAATCCCCAGCATATTTAAAAAAATTGTTGTGTTTGGTTAACTTTCCCATTCAAGCAAGTGTAATTCCTTCTTTAAAATGCCACTTACATGGACACCAGGAAAAAAATAATCTTTTTTAGGTGACACGTAGAAGCAATGACCTCTAAGGGATTTTCATTATTTTTCTTTACTTCATCAAAATGCCTTATCGTTCAACCTTGGTACATTGAAAATGAATATTTGAAATGTATGTCTTAATTTTCAAGCTTTCACTTCTGTTCTGTGCTTATTGTATTTTTACTGCATGTACTACGGGGTTAAACTAGTTATTATTTATTAGTCATAGAGCCTAAAAAATCAGCTGGTGTTAGGGCTATCAGCTGTTTTATTTGTAATTAAAATTAATTCATATGTGGCGTCGCATAGAGACTACATAAGTCAATTCAGCAACAAATTTTCAAAAGCGAGAAATTGATTGTGGGGTTTTGTACGCTTTAGAGTACAAAAAAACACTATTTGTCTCTTGGGAATTTTGAAAAAACCTAGAGACACATGATTTTCAAACTGAATCAATGTGACAAGATGAAATTCTTGTTAAACTCAAACTGACATTTGCTGTAAACAGATTATATAATGTTTTATATAGAGTAGGTAGCAAAGTATTTTTTGCAGGGCGGTGAAAAATAACAATAGTTCATCATATGACTGAAAAGTGTTTTTTCGATCCTTGCTCATTTTACGGCCTTTGGCTTTGCCTGTTAAACTTGAGGTCATGGCAAACACGTCACTTTTAGTCCTAGTGATGAATTTAGAGTTGCAGATAGCTTAGGAAATAAAATAAAATGATTGCTGTTGGTTCATTGCAGTCTGGTTTCAAAGTTGATACCCAATTGGGTGATATTTTACATTAGGCTATGTGCTCTGGTTTTATTTAGCCACTGAATATTTACAAGCTAGAAAATAAAATCTTTGTAAGTTTCTGTAGTAGAATAATATCTTGTCTAGAGTTGCAGGATAAAATCAACTGCAAGAAATAAATATTGTAAAATATACTTGGTGAATTCAGGTATAATACAAAGTTTGAACAATTTTATGAAACATTTTATCCAGATCTTCTATTATAAAAGTACTTTCAGTAACGTTGTGATAAAAACATGGCATCTTATACTTTGCTAATCCATTATCAATGAAAATGTAATGTAAATAATAAGTAATAACAAATATGCCTACAAATGGTACTCATTATTTCATACTACTTTAAGAAAAAAAGTATCATAATTAACTATAGAGATGTTTTATGGGGAAATTTTTGAGTTGAACAAATAAAGATTATCGAGTAACAATGAATTGTGATTTCAGGCCATTTGAGGGTTGTGTTTGACTTTGGTTTCGAACGTCAAGAGCTGATTTTCCCCAATAAACATTTCGGTCTGGGACAGTATCACGATGTGAGAATATCCAGGAAGAATTCTGGGGCTACATTGCTGATGCAGGTAAGCTATTGCACAATACTTACGAATCTAAATAAAAATGGAATCATTTTAGGAACATCCCATGTCACCAATATTTAAAAGGATATTTACGAGTGGTTTGACATAGTTTTCTGAATCCAACTGACCTGTTTATAATGGAACTACAGTTGCGGTTTTATATGTATGATACACCACGTTATTCCATTTAAAATTAAAGTTGACACAAGAACTCAAATGGTTAAAACAATTGAATTTAGTACCCTTTGTTGTATTATCCATCAAATTGTATTATTACTCATTAGATTTTGATATTTCCAAAACCAAAAACCTACGTATGTATGCAGAAAATAATCAAAGTTTCAGTATCTTAAGTGATTACTGGCAAAATTTGAGCCGTGCCTGAGTAATGTTTTGGTTGACCCTCTGAGGAGCTGGTCTAGTGGCAGAGCATGGGGTTCGGTCCCAGAGGTCTTTGGTTCAAATCCTGCCAATCACCAATGGATTTTAGCTATGTTATAATGCCGCGACCCTTCATTCCTAACCTGAAATATTAACTGAAACATTTCTTGGCTATAGCCTAGCATCCTAGGATGTGAAAGTGGGACATAAATTAATGGCTAAGGACTAATCTTGAAATGAAAAAATCAAATAATTTTTTTGGTTTTAGGTGGACAGCTACGAGCCGAAAGAGTTCCACTTCAACATCAAAGCATCGGCAGACGCTCAGTTCAACAATATTCAGACAATGTACATCGGCCGCAACGAGAGTATGACTGAGGGATTTACAGGATGTATCTCACGAGTGGAGTTCGACGACATTTATCCTCTCAAACTGCTGTTCCAGGAAGATGGGCCTCCTAATGTCCGTTCCCTTGGATGTGAGTTGTTTTCGCAAAATGTTATACTGTATGTTAAGTTTTTTTTTGGAAAAATTGACATAACATGTTTTTTGGGGCTATAAACCATATGCCTTGTCACATTTGTTTGGAATAAGATATTTAAAATTGTTTTTTCTATAAATGTTGTCTCCAGATAAATAAAATCTGAAAAGTTCCTTTATTAGGTATAAAAGGAAAAACATATTTTAAAAAAACTTTAATTAACACGTTCAGTGCTGACTACATCAATTATTGATGTAATCGCGAAACGAGCGCTCCTATCGGCCTACATCAATTGATGTAGTTGCGCAATCCCCACTACATAAGTTCAGTATGAACTCAGCCATTGCCGGGGAACGTTAAAATCGTTGCTAGCTTGTAGCTTAGAATGTGAGCTTTATTTTGGTGTAGGTTGGTTCTAAAATTTCCCGTAAAATCCCGTCTGACAATGGTTTTGTCCCAGTTTCGGGGATTTTCTCTCTTCAAGCCATATTACAAAGCCACTGACTACTGATCCAGGCAGTGCTGCTACCTTTTGGTGTTTTAGGGAACTACGTCCAATCGCGGGGTAACGTAGTACAATCACCACTGCTCTTTTGTTATTCGTCAGATTGAAATATTTTAGGGATGGTCAAGTCTCGAAATTTCGGGAAATTTTAAATCTCGTTACACGAGACGAGATTTCTTTTTGGCCGAGATTTTTATCAAGACGAGAATTAAAAAAAAAAAAAAAAATTCAAAACTTCTGCAGAAAGTCAATGCAATACCCGCAATACAGGAGCGTGTTGTAGTTGCGTTTCCTTTGCGAAGGCGTTCTTACTTAATTAATTCTTTTAATGTAAATATTACTTTCATTATTTTAATAATATTACTTTAATAACATTTGAGAAGTTTTGTTAAGTGTAAGCAGTGTGAGGAATGTTTTATTACTATAAAAAAAGTCAAAACAAGTACCGGTAACTATTTTATAAAAATTAATATAGCTTTTATTTTATGATTTATTTTATTTTAGGATAAGTTGAACTCTATCCTAACTGATATCACCATGTTTCCTAATCGTAGGCATTTTTAATAAGTTAGGCGTGATTAATAAAAAAATGTTATGCTGATGTTATTTTATTAGAATATTTACACTTCTATTAAAGATTGTAAATATTCTTGCCTATTATAATTATTTTTGTATTTAAACAGTCATCTAAAAATGTTACAAAATCAGGTAAAAATTACGAACGTGCATTTCCCGTTGTGTATGAGAAGAGAAATCTCGTCTCGATCTCGTCTCGAAATTTTATGAGAAATAAAAAATCTCGTCTCGTCTCGAACTAAAAATCCATTCTCGTCCATCCCTAAAATATTTGAATGCCAATTGCGTTCGCTGTTACGGTGCTGCGCCGGGGCTTCGCCCGGGCCTCGCTGCCATTGGCGAGCGCCTGTTGGAATGCCTGCCGCACTGAACGTGTTAATAGTTGTGCATAGTAATTAGTACAACTAGTGTGCAAAGAGGCTCTTTTAAATGAGAGAAACAAATTGGTTAGCCCCTTTTGTTAACTTTATTAAGTTTTAAAAAGACTCTGCACAATATAAGTTGTCTACAGTTGTTATTGAGTGACAAAAAATTCTTATTTCTGTAACATCATAATTTTAAAACATTAGTGTTTAATATGGCGTTTATTATTATTCAAACAAACAGTTGAAAGCAGTTAAATATTTAAATCAAATTTCTATAAATATTAGACCTACTTTGTTACAAAAGAACAATTTGTGAAAGTAGTATTGAAGTACCGGTAGTCATAATAATTTTACACTGGTAGTGGTAAGTCTAATTTTGTTGTGGTTGAGCTGTTATTCGTAGTGAACAAAGTAAAATATCAAGATATCAGCTGTTTTGCTAAATATTGAGGGATCAGTTGTTTGGGAAACTATTTAAAAATCAGCTGTTTTGTTAACTATTGAGAAATCAGCTAATTTTTCTAATAATTCACGTTAAAATGTTACCTTGTGTGACAACTGTAGAAAAATGTTTGCCTGGATGTTGTTATTCTCAACCCATTCCATGTTTGTGGACTATAATTGAAATGTACTATTCAAAGAGCTGTTGGTAGCTAATGTATTTTGCTTGTAGTTCATTGTTTCACCAGCTATGGTTTACATTTTTCAGCCCCTCTAACGGAAGATTTCTGTGGTGTGGAACCTGTTACACATCCCCCTGATATGAAGGAAACTCGACCTCCTCCAACCATTGACCAGGACAAACTAGAGGCAGCGTACAACCGCACCAACTCTGCCATCCTGGGTGGTAAGTAAAATCATAAACTAGACTGTTGGGTCGATATAGTAAAAGACAACCTCTTTTCACAATAGTAGTTGTGGGGAAGAACTCATTCCTTCTTTCTCAATTTAAGTCATGGCTAAATCTTAAAAGACGTGTGTTACTTTCTGGACAGCTGTCGCACAATCACCATTAACTAGTAACTAGCAGCTGACTTTGTTGCAGGAGTGTTAGCCATCATATTCCTCGCTCTGGTGATCATCCTGATCCTGATAGGCAGATATGTGGCTCGACACAAGGGAGAGTACTTGACGCAGGAAGACAAAGGAGCCGAGAGTGCCATGGACCCGGACAGCGCTGTTGTACATTCAGCCACCGGACATCAGGTACGTCCACTCAGCAGAAAGTAACTTTCTTCTAAGGTGTAAGGTCTCTTATTTACTGAGATATTAATTGATTGAGTTTTGGCGGACCTTTCCGTGAGTTGGCTTTGTGCATTCTTCGTTTAGTTCCCCATAGCCTGTATAACTTTAGGTGCTTGATGAGTTGCAGCTTACCTATGAGCTTTTCTTGTGGAAGGTGACTGCCCCTTAGCAAGCAGTACTTTTTATACCTTATTCAGAGTCATAAAGTAAATAGTCTGCAGTCTCCTCAGACTGTTCATATTTCCTGCATGATTTGTCCCAATTATGGATCCTTAAGATACATAATTACGGATCTTGTAGTTTCTTCGGCAACCATAGCCGGTGATCATTCCATTGATCTGTCTTAGCATTGACTATACACAGAATAGACTTCCCAAGTAATGTAAAAATTTGAAGCCAAAAAACGTGGTACAATCTGTTGAGATGGTCTACCTACTAAGATAATATTCCGTGTTAAGTTATAAATCAATCAGCTGTTTGCTATGATACTGCATTGATTTTAATTACCGTAATATTTAACCCAATACACTTGTAAACTCTGGTGAGATGGTCCTGAACTTCATCTATTTTCTTGGCATCAAATTTTTACATTACATGGGAAGTCTATTCTGTGTATTCAATTGTCTTAGTTACCTCCTGTCTGTTGATCAAATTGTTGTCCTACCTTTACATCACTGGAAGTAGGCTCTCCCCCAGAACCTCTTAACCCTTTACTGTAGGCTAGGATAGAGATGTGGGTTTATCACTTAGTTAAAATCCATTGGTGATTGGTGGGATTTGAACCCATGACCTCGGGGGAAAAAGTCCCGTGCTCAACCACTAGACCAGCTCACTATAAGTTGTACAACATTATTGGCAATTGTCTGAAAACAGGGAAAAGATAATAAAAGCTTACAAGATATTTTACGATAAATTACAGTAACTCACACTGCAGAAAATAATCCACCCCAGAGTTCAAGAGCTCAGCATATTTTATAAGTTACCGTTTTTTTTTTAACGCAGGACTTAGGTCCCAAGGTTCAAATCCCACTATTCTCCAACGGTTAGCCCAGTACTTTGGAGCCCACTTTTAGATTTAGGAACACATAGAGAAAACAAAAGGATAAATCTCGCAGATGAGCACTTTTTATTGGATTACTCCCTTCTCTTTAAACCACAATTATTAAAACTTCCCCTATAAAATCAGTTATATTGATCCCACTTGATTATTTTACTACTTTTTTATTACAGGTGCAGAAGAGAAGAGAATGGTTCATTTGATAACCACGATCGCTAGCCTACTCAACACTGCGTTCCTTGTTGAAACGTCAACATTTTATTTTTATACGCAATAACTGGTGTTTGTTCTATGCTAGTGCTATGTTGGTGTAAGTGTGACAGTATTGAATGATCTGTGCAGTCTTTCAGACTATTTCGTTGAATATTCGGTAGGGAGAGATCTTTTGAAAGTAATATTGCCATTGGCAGCTAGGATCATTTGTAGTAATTTTATTTATTTGACTACGTAATTTTAACAATTTTAACTTTATGTTATGTTCCGTCTATTGAGTCTAGAACCTATAGGTAATTTGTCCTCCTCGAATTTTACTGGTTGTGTTATATTTTATTTTTGACAAAAAGTCATTTAATACATGCAACTTTTATTTTCAAAATATTTATTATTTTAGTTTTAAAACAGGAATTATTTATTTATGATTCTAAGAGTAGTAAGATGAGTGGTAAAATACGTTTTAATGTCTTCTTTCTCCAGTTAATAGTTTTTTATCCCTGTATATAAACACTCGTTATAAATTTCATCAATTTTACTGGTTTATTCCTACTAGTTTTTTTTCTAACCTCTTTAAAACCCCGTTCACACGGGGCGAGTTTACAAGCTACACGCCGGCTTTTTTACACGCAGCTAGTAAAATAGCTCAGTGTGAACGACGTACTCGCTCAAAAGCTGCTTGTAAAAAAGCTCTGGAAAAAGTTGACGCTGCCGCTACTTTACACGCCAACTCGCCAGCTTTTGAGCGAGTGGGCGTGTAAAGTAGCCCAGTGTGGACACAGTTGCTTGTGCTTGTGCGCTTGTTACTCAAAGATGTTGGAGGATTTGGTTCAAGCCAGCTACTCAGCGAGTGGAAAAAGCATTGTGTGAACGACTACAAGCGCACTCGCCGGCGTCTTTCTACACGTCTGCGAGTTGGCAAGTGGACAAGCTCCGTGTGAACGAATACAAGCACACTCGCCAACTCGCCGGCTTCTTACACGCTGGCGTGTAGCTTGTAAACTCGCCCCGTGTGAACGGGCCTTAAAACCTTTTAAATAATGGCACATAATCTCATATCTTAAATTGCTTGGACAAATTTGTACTGTGATTCTTTTCTGTATTTTTACTGAAAGGTTGCACAGTTGAAAGATCAGATGAACTTTTTTGTCTTCCTTGAATAATTTGTTAACGTTTCAAAATGGAACTTACCTCAAGCTTCCGTTACAAAGCTGGCCTTCGACATGACTGAACTTCTGCTACCAAAGTTGATAAGTCAAGAATTCACTACTTCCCCAGCGTAGAGAGTTAAAAATAGAAATAGAAAAATCTCCACTAGTAAACTAGAAAATTAAATTTATCACACTCACATTTAAAAAATACCGATTTGAATCTCAGTTATTTCAGAACACATCACTATGGTTCCCTCAAAGAATTTAACTTTTTCAGGTACTTAGTTATGTACTCGATCAATTTACAATTTCAAAGTGATTTTATGTATTATGTTCGTATGCGTTAAAAAAATAGTTTATTTTATTTTGTTATTAGATTTATTTTATTCTATTACTAGGTATTGAAAATACCCTTGATATTTATAACTTAAGATCTTAAAATTGATATTTTAAGCACATAATTGCGCTTTCATACACTGTAAATCTTACTAGTTGATAGGCATACCGATGTATATACAATTTAAACAATTTCTATGTTATCATTCCACTCTAATAATTTAGTTGTCTTAATTTACTTAATATTGATCCAACAGCACCAGGGTTAGTCGATATCATGGTTAAAATAAACCAAACTAGTACTTTCCTGTTCTCGTAAAATACTGTCAATTTTGGAAATCTACTTTGTACAATTTTGTATTTAGAACTTGAGTTTTGCATTTTTATACACTTGAGAGATTTGTACAAGGTTAGTTGAGCTGTCGGTCAAATCTGTTTACAAACGTGAATTTGTATACCTTTTTCTTAGCACTTACTTTAGTTAGGTTAATTTTTAGATTATTGACTTGCGGCTGCAATAATATAACAATGTAACAGTATTGATCAAAACGTCCATTTTTATTTTTACATGTGCATGTGAATTTTTATATATTTTATGTACATTTGTTGTTTTTAATTATGTATATTTTCGTACTTTGTAGTATTGATTTGCATTCTAGCTGAGTTTTAACAGTTTATTTATTGATCAAGCAATATGTTCTCGTGTTTTGTTGTACTAAATTTATTTTGTGCGTCACAATGCGAGATGGAAGCAAGTTTGTCTAGGATGGTGTTGACTTTTGTACAATAAACAATGTTGAAGCTAAAATTTGATTCAATTGCCTCAGTTAATGTTGAATATACTACTTAGGCTAAGGATGTAATATAAAGCACAAGGGCCCAGGGTTTAAGAGTTTTTGTGATGATATATTTTCCTGGTTGGAGGAAAAGAGTCCAAACTGGTACTAGAAACACGAAACATTAGAAGTAAACTATCTCTTTTACTCGTACCTTTCTTAGTTGAAGAAATTATTAATGTTTTTATTTTGTGTAAGTGTAAAGCTTTTTTGATTCTTCTGCCAGTTTGGACTATTTCCTGTTCTAGGCAACCTGATATCTTCATACAAATTCTAAATAGTGCTTATAAACTTATTTTTAAGCTGATTTCTTTGAGGATGAAGATTTTGCAAGTTGGTAACAGACAAGATTTTTCTGTTCAAATGCTTCTTTGTTCTTCATGGCAAATCTAAAACTTGCACTTGCAGCTAGCAAACAGAATTAGGCAATTGATTGACACTCACTATTCTTACTACCCTGTTAAGCCATACCCCAGTCTATAGAGTAGCCTGCGTCATACCATTGATGTCTGTGGCCACGTTTCAATTCTCCCCATTACTTCCTGCGCTTGTGACTTATTGCGATACTACGTGCAGTAGTTCCAATTTACTGCTTATTGTTCTGCGCTTAACTTTCTTAAATGAACGTGAACTAGCTTGAACACTAAACTGGATGAGTGTGTTTTACATGTCTAAAAGTTTATTAGTATATAAACCACAATGTAAACTGGAGTTTAAATCATGGTGGCACTGTATTGAACAGCATGCAGAAACTATTTCCAGACTGATAAAAACGTTGTGTATTGTGTATTTCCGCAAAACCCATCTGTTTAAAGTGCGTGGGTGGGTGCAAGAGACAGAGAGCTTATAGTTTTAATTTAATACTTAACACAATAGAATGTGCTGTTAGAAGTTTACTGTTGGAAATGATATTGAAGAAATCGTAGTTTGGGAGCTCCAAAACTCCAATCTTAGTAGAGGGTAAAAATATTTTTTCATAACTTATTGGAATACTAATATAATAAAACAATAAAAGTCAGTAACAAACAAGGGTTTGTAACTATTATTATTTGGCAAAATACGAAACTGAATCCAGACAAATAAGGTACTAATAAGCATTTTGTTATCATCAACTTAGGATATTAATTATTAGAAAACAAGTTTATTGATTAAATTGTGTATTATTTCAGGAGAAAGCAGATGTTGAACATACATGAAGGGTTCAAAGAATTCAAAGAAATAGCATTACAAGTAACAAAATAGGTCCCAACTTGACCACAAGTAGTTGGAGATCTACAATATCTTTTGGAGGTACGTATGGTTGTAATAAGTTATGAGGTTGAAGCAATATTGTTTAACTCATAACTAAAAGATTTTTGTTATTCTTGAGTTCAATTTAAACATGTGTGTAATTATGTTCTGTTTATTTTCAGGACTAACACAGCCTTCTTTGTGTGAAGCTTCCATTAGACTTTTTGAAGCAGAACTTTTTTTATTCAATGGAGAATCTTTGTAAACCAGAAGAGGAAAAATTCTGAAGTGTCTGTCAAGAGGCAGTTAAGGTTCGCAAGATTGCGTACTTTTATTCCAATCAGACACTAAAACAATAAATCTTTGTCCACAAATAGGAGAAAATCAGCTACAGAAAATAAAATTAGCTGAATCTTGCATGGACAATCCATTGATTTGTGAACTATGCCATACACCTTTTTCGTTTGTATTTTTATTTGAGTATAATGCTTTACTGAAGTTATAACATATTTTTTGAATTAAAGAAATCAGAATTGTTCAGCGTTTGTTCATTTTTGTATTTGCAATATGTATTACCATACTAACATATTACAGATGACGATAATAAGATCTGATAAGATGACGATTATGTCTACATGACTGTGGTAGATGTTCATGATTTTGCTGCAGTTGCGCAAGACGATGACGTTTTCGTGATCCTGGGAGTCTTTAATGATGTCTACAGGATTGCAGAAGGTGTTCATGATTTTGCCGCGGTTGGGCAAGACGATGATGACGTTTCTGTGGCCACCGGAGATGATCAGAATTTTGCCGCGTGATGGCGTTTCTGTGGCCACTGGAGATGATCAGAATTTTGCCGCAATCGCACAAGACGACAGTGACGTTCTGTGACCGCGGGGTTCGATGATGGTGTCTACACAGCCGCGGTAGATAGTCAGAATCTTGCCGTGATCGTGGAAGACCACATTCGTCAAAAGACGCCGGATTACTGGAGTGCCAGAGTAGCGCAGTGCTAGATTATAGAGGGTCTCCTGTACTTGTTGTTTACTAACTCTGCAACCATTACTTATTTTTTTTAAATCAATTCACAGTATGCACTAATATTGATATAGAGCTGTTCATAAAATTAAGTCATACTGATGTAAGCAGAACTATAGAGAAGTAAGATTCAGAGGAAATACGCTTATGGGACAACGATGCACTTTCGGCTCTGGTATGTTGTGCCAGGAATCTTGTGAAAGGCTATAGGAAGAGCCTGAATGGTGAGTTCTGTGTAGAAATTCCTATGGCACAGGGTCTTCTTCTACCCAATTACAAAATGTCCTTAGATGATTTGTTGTTGATTATGGGTAACATCTAAATAATACAGTAGGTAGTAGTACACTAATAAACTTATAGGTAGTAGTACACTAATAGACTTATAGGTAGTAGTACACTAATAAACTTATAGGTAGTAGTACACTAATAAACTTAAAAATATTAAAATAAATCTAAAAATTTAGAAAAATCTTGCCTTGAAACCTAACATTTTATGATTTATCCAACGGATTTCCCTAAGTAGAAAATATAACCTTAGTGTGGAAAAATTTGAAAAATCTAATAATAAATTTTAGCGTTTTAATGAAACTGATCATTTTCATGCATAACTCATGAATTACAAAATTGTCTACCGTATGACTGACTATATTTTAACATCTAATGGGTATGTGTAATGAAGATAGTAAATATTTAAAAATAAGACCAACAAGACTTGCATTACTTGTTAAATATTTTTAAACATGCATAATTGTAATCATGAAAAATTAGTGCCTTCAATAAGTATGCTACGACACAGACAACTTTAGTGTAAAGAAATTGTCGTTCAAAATTTGCAGGCGCTCAAATAAAGTCGAATCGAATTTTTTTTGTCATGTAAGTTGCATAGGTGGTGTAGGACAATTTACTTGATAATTATTATATGCTAATTTCTAGACTAGTTGAATAGAGACCCCTCTGTCCTGGAGGTCTTAGTTTAAACCATACCAAACGCAAAAGAATTAAAGCAAAGCTTTATAATGCCGTGATCTGGCTTTTTAAGCCCATCTTGATCTGTCCATTCGCAAAAAATGTTTCACAGGCAAGGGTAACTTTCTTTGTGTTAGTTAGATAACTCCTTTTATGCCGAACAATCAATAGTATGTTATAAGTTTTAAAAACTAATTAATTGGGCTATGTGAAGACAAAAGGACAAAAATGAAGCAACGTAATTATTTAGGCCTAGAGTTATTTTATGAATATACACAGACTATTTTTATAACCCAAATTCAATCCTTTGAACTATTTGTATAGGTTGTTTTGAACGCAACACAAATTCACGAATTACAAAAACGCGAGACACTTGTTGAACGTCAAAACATGCTTATGTGTTGGCATCCCTGTTTTCTTTACTTAATTGCCAATCAGCTGATATGCATTGTTTCATAGTAATCAATTTGGATTAGTTTTGTAGAGAATTTTTCGTGAATAAGACTCAACATCGTGTTTTTTCCAACTTCAAAAGTATGTATTGTTGAATGCTTGAAAAGTAACTAATTGGTTTTATGCCAGGAAAAGTTTGATATTAAAGTTTCCTTCAGAACCCGAAGGCCTTCAGAACCCGATAAATGAACTATCATTGACCTGTAAAAAATTAAGGTAACCGGATCTGCGAAAAAAAAACGTTAACGTAGACCTACAACTCTATTTGAGCTGGCGAAAAAAACACTAAATTTACAATGAATTCCCAATTAAACCTCATAACCAAGCAACAAATGCAGATCAGCTGATCGGCAATGAAGTGAAGACATCAGGGGTACCAACATATATAATCTTGTTTTGTCGTTGAACAAAAATTAAAATCGAACCAAAATTACTCGAGTTATCGCGTTCGCTGACACTTAGATATTTTAATGAATCTAGACATCAAAACGAAAAAGTAAAGTGGTCCCAGGTCAAGGTCTTACCACGAGACCAATTTTAACAGCTTATTCATGAAAAATCAGCTAAACTCTATGAATACTCTAGAAACCAAAATATGTCCCGTTCAAGGCCAAACTGTTCACCGACTCCATGTTTCCCACCAATTGTTCTACACTCTTATTAAAGCTCTTCCTCGCATTATTATTGTTTGTAGTTCGTGCTGGAGGTATAATTTGACTGCACAAATTACACAGCATAGACCTTGTCAGACTTTTTACATTTTTGTGAAGTAGGTTTTGCAAATCAACGAAGTCATTTCTGGTCGTTGTGTTGAGTGTAAGTAGGTATGATTCTCTTATGAAATTGTTCGAGTTGAAAATTGTGTGTATAGAAAGTATCACACATGCTATATCAAAAAGTCTTTAGTATTAAACCAGGTTGATTAATACTAATAGTTCGGGTACGTTAGTAAAGTAGTATCAACTCTGCTCTAACATCAAATCAGCTGTTCCAACCTGTTCTAGTATCAACGCAGATCTATTGATCTATAGTATTGAAGCGCTTATGCTACTTGTTGGTCATTATGTGTGAATTGACTGGCAGTTACGAAATAGAAACATCTTTCAATGAATGTTACAATTACAAATCAAACCACTGGACATAACGCGAACTACTAATTGAACTAGTAGTACAACCAATTACTATTACTATCAAATAATTGGCTTAAAATATCACAAACCAACCGTGCAAGCACCTAAAGTGATAAAATATATCCATTATTATGGAGTCATAGTATATA